ACGATGGTGGGTACGCCGTACTGGATGGCCCCTGAAGTCGTCAAGCAGAAGGAGTACGGTGCTAAAGTCGATATCTGGTCGTTGGGCATCATGGCCATCGAGATGATTGAGAACGAGCCGCCATACATGGACGAGGAGCCTTTGAAAGCACTCTACCTGATTGCGACGAACGGAACACCTACGCTGAAGAAGCCGGAGGCGTTGAGCAGGGAGTTGAAGGGATTCCTGAGTGTGTGTCTGTGCGTGGACGTGAAGAGCAGAGCGACGGCTGCTGAGCTTTTGGAGGTACGGGCTATATATACAAATTTTTCACTCATGACGATGGTCTGACGTGTTATTTTTTGCACAGCACGAATTCTTGAAGAAGGCGTGTGCATTATCAGGACTGGCCCCGCTTCTCCATTTCAGGGCGAGGCAGTAAGATACCCACTGGCGACCCTCAAACTCTGTGCTGTATCCTCGCCACATCGTCGAACTATCATTTGCGACAATACTCATTATATTCACGACTACCTCTCCGCAGATGCTCGACTTGTCGCTCTCAATTTGACTGACTGACTAGCCCTCTGCAATATGTATTTCCTGTCCCTTTCCATCCAGAGTCGAGATGCATCAAAACTGTATTATGTAGAACACAGAGAATCATCGCTGGTCTAGCTTGCCGAGTCGTAGACCAGTAGAGAGCATAGAGATGGGCGCAGAAGGAATTCGGCCACGTGACACTCAGCCGAAGCTCAAACCACCGAAGCCGAAGTGACTGTCGGAAGTAGTCGACTCTCCTTCCATCCTTCCGTTCACCAGTGCCCAGGTAGTTATAATAACACGGCGGCGTAGTCCTTCCCAGAAACGCATATGTGACAATCGTATGTAGCACAGACCCTTGACCTACAACAGTAAGCAAAAACAATCCAGTAGTACCGTACAACCCTACGCCGCGATCTTCCTGAACATGACCTTCGCTGTCCGATGCGGCGCCACGCCATACCGGAACTGCACATTCTCCGGCCTAACAGCAGGCCCGTCCATCTTGATGTCGTAGTTGAGGATCAAATGCGCCAGCATCGCCTTCAATTCGAAATTGGCGAAGAACCGTCCAGGGCTGTCAAACACCAAAGCACCTCAGCCACCGTGTCTTCTGTGTTAGCATAGAAGATGCGTGACGTACCATGCTTGCTTCCCATGCCCGAACGTGAGGAAGGTCGGAGAGGTGGTGATCAACGACCCGCCGGTGGTCTTGCCGTCTTCGACGTATCTGAACCCGTCGAACTCCGCTGCGTGCGGGTAGAATTGCTCGTTGGAGTGGATCTGGATCACGTTCCCGCCGACCAGCGTGCCTCGGGGCAGGAACGTCCCATCGGAGAGCGTGACGTCGCCGGTGGTCATGCGTTGAGGGGAGACTGTAGGTCGTCGCGAAGGGAAATCAGGTTTGCGTGCTAGGTCGGGCAGTAAGGAAGAGAATGTACGCACTTCCGCCGACACCGTGGAATCGCAAAATCTCCTTGAAGAAACTATCCATCTTCACCAACTTGTTCAGCGAAGTTTTGGTGTACCCCTCAGACGAAAGGATCGTCTCCGCTTCCTGACGAAGCTCAGGCAGGTATTTGTCTCCTTCGACGGCGAGTTGGAATATGGCGTGGGTGAGAGTCTACACCAGGTTGACGAAGGATAGAGTGAGATGCTTGTGCACGATGAAACGCAGTGACGGATCCATACCATAGAGCTAGTATGCACGGCAGCGAAGTTCATGCCGATCAACACTTGGGAGATATACTTGGCTGTAAGGTTGTGGTCCGGTACGTCTTGGATGACCCACGTCAAAACGTCTGGCTGTGATCCACTTCGTGAGCAAAGCAAAGATGCGACTTCATCACCATGGATGTACTCACAGGAAGTCCTTCCCAGTCCTTTCCATGCACTCGGACAGCCTCGAGACGTTCCTCGACGACGGGCCATACGTACTTCTCCAATCTTTCGCGCACGCCAGCCCATCCCAAAACCAATTTAGCGAATGGCCTGTATATATCGCAATTATAAAGTGAGTTGGGTCAGTTTCAAGGCGTGACGACCTTGTAAGTATCATGACGCACCGCTTCAAGGAATGCGGAAGGAAAGAGACCGCGAACCCGGTCAAAAACACGGTAGTCGTGAACTTGATGCTACCGTTCACGACTTCTTCCTCTCGGCCTATGGGCTCGTCAGTTGTGATCGCTTCGCAAAGAATAAACCCAAGCAATAGACGTACACAACGGTAGACCGATGGTAACTCGGTTCGTCACACGCGCAATGGCCTTGATCATAGACTGCGCAGCCGGCACAGACACCCACTCTGTAGTAAAGCGCACTTTCAATCCTTTCGCTCTGAGCACGGAGAGCGCGAGAATCAAACGTACCGGTTGCGACTTTCTCCCCAAGCATGTCGTTGAATGACGCTTTCACTTCGTCCATGATACCGGGTAGGATGGCGTCCATGTTTTGCGACAAGGAGACCCGGATGACTCTCGACAGCAGGGAGGAAACTTCGTGTGGTGGGGCGTATGGGTATAAGGTCGTGTCCATCAGGATCATCTGGCAGGTTCGCAACGCTTCGTTCAATGTTCGATATTCCATACCTCGATAAGACATGCACATACCTCGTTTGACGACTCCGTCAAGGACATCTCGGGCATCTTGCTCATCTCGTCAATGAGAGCGGGCGTGTTCAGGAAGACACGCCATGTTCCAGCT